ATTTACCAGAGAAATAGGTAGAATGCTCTTGTATGACATTCTTTATACAGTTGGCCCTCTAGTTCCCTGAGTGCTGCGTCTATGAATTCAACAAATGACAGATTGAAAATATTCGGAAAAAATTGCGTCTGTATTAAACATCTGCAGACTTTTTTTCTTGTCATTATTCCCTAAACAATAGTGTAACACTATTTACAAAGCATTTATGTATTAGGTATTATAAGTAATCTAGAGATAATTTAAAGTATATGGGAGGATATATATAGGTTATATGTAAATAATACACCATTTTATGTCAGAGACTTAAGCATTCTCTGATTTTGGTTTCTTCAGGTGGTCCTGGAACCAATCCTCCACAGATGCCAAGGGACAATAGTAATTGCATTGGAGCTTTGGTTGGGATTGAATAGTTTGAAACAACAAAAATCTTACATTTCTATTACTTATATTTCAAAAAGGAATGGCCTAGTATATCAAGGGTCACGCAAATATTTATATGGTAATGCCTCTTTGGAAACCTAATCTAAGTAAGAGTACAAAAGAAAGAAGTCATAAGCACAAAGTTCCCCCGCCCCCAGAATTCTTTTAAAATAGCAAAAAGTTAGAAACAACCTAAATATCTAACACTAGAGGAAAAGATCATTAAATTATAGCATAACTACTGAATGAAAACTATTTGATCATTTAAAGTGTTCAATATAAAGATTAAAGAGAGCCATGGAGAAATTTGTAAGATACAGTGAGGACAGAATATAAAATTATAGTTAAAATACATATATATGCATATGGGGAAAGGTAGAAGGGAAAATTCAAATTCAAAAATAAAAATAGTAATTTTGTTAGTGATTCAATGAATGCTTTTTTTCCTTACATACCAATCATATTGTGTTTGTTTTATGTGTGGTTTTGTAATGAACTAAACCATATCAAGTCCTATTTTGGAAGCTAGAGCAATTGTATTGGCCCTATAAATACTTCTATCAGGTGTCATAACTTTTGGAAATGACATAGGCCAGAAAATCCCTTTACCCTCTCCCAGATAGTCAGCTGAAGTTCCATTGTTGATTTTAAGAGCTTCTCCTTCTGCTTATTAATTTGTTATTTTGAGATTATGAGAATACATTCTTGGTTACTGTGTAGGACATTTATGAGAGTTTCACATACCAGGATGGTTTTAGGTTTGGGTGTCCTTATTTCTTTTTAATTCTTGAAAATTCCCTTCACAAATGAGGCTATATTAAAAGCCATGCAGAATGTTTTGATAAAAGGGTAAAGTAATTTTTTTTTTAATTTTTCTTTTACAGGAAAGAGCTGATCCTCTCTGGCACTTTAAATCCAATTAAAGATTTACATCTGGGAAAATTGGCCTTAACTAAATTTCCAAAGAGTCCAGAAACATGGATTCACAGGTATGATTAATTTACAACATAGTATTTTTACTTAGAATTCAGAATGGCTGGAGAAAGAAACGCAGCATGTGAGGCAGGGTCGCATATCGGTTCAAAGCATGAATTCTAAAGTCACATTACCTATGTTTACATGTAGGGGCTGTATCACTTACTACCTAAATGTTCATGGGAAATTATTTAACCTCTTCAAGCCTCAATGTTCTTATTTGTAAAATAGGAATAATAATTATACCTCTTTCATAGAGTTAATGGTTGCGTTTACATGATATAACCCTACCACAGTGCCTGGCACATATTAAATACTCAAATGTTAGCTATTATTATTATTATTATATTGCATTTAGATACTCAACTATAATGAACAACTTGGATTTTTAAGTGCATTCTGTTGTGTTCCTGGTAAAGATGGTGGTAGTGATGATTGTGGTTATTAAAATTAACTTATACATAGGAAGTTAAGGGCAGTCAAGGCGAGTGATGTGTAAGCTGAGCTAAAGTTGCTAAGACCATAAATGCAAAGAACGTTTTTTGGTTAAATGCCTATGACAGCCAGAATACCCGTTAGGACTCTCAAAATCCTGGCTATCTAGAATCATCTTCCTCTTAGACCCCATGTAACTACTCTCATTTGACTAAAATGAGATGGTGTGGGCTTACTGGTCGGGATCAGTGAAGAAGTTACTCTGAAGAAGTCTGTTCTCACTTTATTAAGCAACTCTTAACTTTTCGTAAATCCTGGGCATTTTTAGGATCTTACGTCCATTCGTTCAAGGTGTCTTAGCTGTAATCTTGCCTTTGACTAACATTGCAGATCAATCAGCTCCTTCCAAACCACATAGTTGTATTTTCTTCTTTACTAGAAATTGGGTTAGTAGACCTCAGGATTTTGTGGATGGGGGTTTGGAAAGGGGTGATGGCAGGGGAAAGAACTATTGAATATACATCCATCAATTTATTGGCTTGTCTAATTATTTTATGAAGTAATATTTTGTTAAATAAAAATCTCATTATTTAAAAATAACAAAATGAGTCTTCTCACTCAAATTCCTGTACCTTTGGGTTGGAAATTTTTAGTCTAAAAGACTGCTTTCATATGAGGAATATATTTGTACAAACTAAAGATATTAAGTAGTTAGAAGTACTTTCTTAGTGTTTCCTATTTAAATGCATACTAATGCAAATCTTAAATAGACCAAAGGAAAATCTGTGGATAAGGACATTTTGAAACCTCCTTAATGATTTATCTAATTGTATTGTATTTGTTCTCTTTCAGATTTTATGATGTAATATAGAAATTTTGCTTAATGAATGCTGTTAAAATGCATTTTCTTGTTTGCAAACAAATACACATAGAGTAAGGCATTCACATATAATTAAAAATGTGAACTATTACTCCTCTAATATTTACCAGCCATAATTTATACTCCCTCATCATTACTGTTACCACCACCACACACACACACACACAAACACACAGAACAGTTGCCTTTACATTTCCTGGCCAGGTGAAGTCGTGCAGTTATCATTTTAGAACTAATGACATTTCATTTTAACAAATTTTAAAGTTTTAAAGGGTTTTTTTTCCTGTGTATCTCTCCCACCCCACCCCCTTGACCCATACTGCTAAGTTTGTCTTTAAAAACAACAAAACAATATCCCCTACCTATCTCCCAAAAACTAGGCTTATAGACAGGTATTATTTTGCCTTGTCTGTGAATAGAAATTAAATTAAGAATGACAAAAAGTAGTTGTTTTTCCTCTCTGGTTTATGTTCTTTTCTTGTTCTCTTTCCCACATGCTACCTCAACAGGAGATGGGTGCTACAACAGCTAATTCAGGAAACCTCCTTGCCTTCCTTTGTAACCAAAGGAAACTTGGGAACAATTCCTGCAGAAAGGACACTTCGGCTAATACAAGAAGAGATGGAGGTCTGTGGTGAAGCAGCAGGGAGATACCCAAGCAACTATAATGCCTGGTCCCATCGCATCTGGGTTTTACAACACTTGGCCAAGCTAGATGTCAAGGTACGATATTATTCAATCTCCTGAGCAGGCTGCCCATCTACCCTTAAAATCTTCTGGTAGTAGTTCACCTTCAGAAGAGCTTTAAAGGAGTAGAGGAACCTAATGATCTAGCAGCATAAGAGGATTATGACAGCTAATACCTCCAGAGAAACCCTAGCAATTAAAAAAAAGTTTGTATTCCCCACCAGTGCAGTTTTGGGCATTCCTAAAGCTAGTGCATTGGTAGAACAAAGGCAGATTTAACCAGTCGAGGAAGACTGAGCATAACTCACTTTACCCTAAAACAGGAAGGGATTATTGAGACTTACAGTATTAGATTGCTATTTCTTGATAGTCTTTGGTTATCTGACTTAATATGCTGAGTCACCTGTCTGTCTGTTCACACTTTCCTCTCCTGGAAGGGAGGAGAGGGAGGCAGACATAGACTATCTCAGCCAGGGTTTTCAAACTTGGCTGAGCCTATAAATTACCTGGGGATTTCTTAAGTCCCACTCCAGCTATAACTAAACCATAATGAGGATGGGATCTAGAGATCAGTATTTTCCATAGGCTCAGGGGGTTATTTGGATGCAGAGCCAGGTTGGAAACTCACAGCCTAATCTTTTCAGTTTAGAAATGAGGAGATGGAGGTTTTCAGGGAATTATAATGGCTTAGACTTAGCTACATTTGCACCACTTATTATTCATCAGAATGAGAGCCTCATATCCCTTGTATTCCTTCTCATATACTACAGCATCTCAATTTTTTTCTTCTCCTCTTATGGTATCATAGTACCATAGGAATCTAGGGTACTTGGCCAAAAAGTTTCTCAGGCTTAGGACAGTTAAAAGAGGTCAAGTTGAAAGTCAGAGCACCCCAAGTGATGCTTAGATTAGTAAAAAAGTATTCTGTAATTTTAACTTATCACCCCCTTTTTCCTACATGTGCCTTCCTAGGTTCCCTCTCCCCTCTTTGTTTCCTAGCCAGATTCCTCCAGGACAAGTAGGAGAATTTTACTTCCGGGGATTTTAAACTAACAATTCTGAAAGAGTAGCCTTTCTCTTCCAGTTTATATAGCTGTGAGTTTCAGGAGGGGAGACCAGGCTGCCTGATGGAGTAGAGAGAGCAAAGGCTTACAATCACATCGACCTGGGTTCAGATTCTGGCCCTACTAGCTATGTGTGCAAAGTAAGGCTTTAATGTTTTCATTTATAAAATAGGGACTCTATTGCCTGCTTCAGTCGATTGTTGGGAGAGTTGCTTAAGTTAATGTGTGTGAAGTACTAGGCACCTGGTAGCATCTCACTCTATTTTAGTTCCTTTCTCTCTTCTCCCATAGATAGAAAGTTTAGGTGAAATTGGCTTCCAGTTTGCTTGATCCAACTCAGTGTAATTTATTCTTGAAACTGTGCTGAAACCCTGTCATTCCCAGCCACTGCCATGTATACTGAGTGTGGCAGTAAAAACAAAGTGCTCACCCTTAACAAATTGAAAATCTGATTGAGGATCAACAATTACAAAGTAGCATAGTTGAAAATCTAGTTGAAGAAACAGATCAACAATTACAAAGCAGTGAGACATTTGAAGGAAGTGAGGGAAGCTCAGAATACAGTGGGAGCACAGAGAAATGGCTCCAATGGCTGGGCTCATTGGAAACATTTGCCAAAGGGAGGGGAGTACACAGTCTGAGTCTGGAGGAGCAAGTACAAGTTATCTGGTGGGTTGGGGGATATGGAGTGATTTATAGCCCCTCTTCTCAGCTTCACAACTTGATAGTGTGTAGAGGTGGGGAGAGGCATGGGGATGGTTGGGGATGAAAAGGAGGGCAGAATGCAGGTGAACTGAGAGGTCTTTGGAAATTTTCTACCATGATATGTATCTTTTCAAGTGGTATTCCCATAAAATCAGGAACAAAGGGCCAAGATGAAACTCTTGGTTACTTGAGACCATCTGATGTTAAAGATGGCAACTCATTAGGGGTATGTGGGCTCAGCTACCTGGGTCCAGTCCTGCACTCACATGTTATCAGCCTTCCTTGACCTACCCTTGTTGGGGGACTTACCATTCTTCCTGTCCTCACTACCACTGCAGCATATTTCACTCTCTTGTTTTCAGTGAAGAGTGCTAAATTTGCAAAATCTCTTTTCTGTTGTTATAAGTCATTGACCCAGCTATGAGAATATGTTCTATTATGCTTTGTCTATTAGAGGAAGTAGTCACAAAAGTATCATTAGTCTAAAGCAGCTTAATTTTATATTTATTTACATATATATATATATAAAATGAACTGGCATTTTTTATTTAGAAAATTGAAAATGATTTTTTAAAGTGCTAGGTATGGGTTTGAAAATGAGCATTATAAAAATTTTTATACTCTTACTGAAGGGCAACGTGGCAGCATTTATCACACTTTAAAAAAAGAGTGTGATCTCTAAGAGTTCGGCTTCCAGGAATTCATCCTAAAGAAATAATGGGAGATAAAGTATGGTGTAGTGATTAAAAGCTCCATTCAGTGGTCATACAGATCTCATTTTCATCCTGGCTTTACCACCAATTTGCTTTGTAGCCTTAAGGAAGTTACTTAGCCTCTCCAACCTTCAGTTTCCTCATCTGCAAAATGGGGGTGATGATAATTCCTATCCCATTGAGTGATGCAAATTGAATGAGAAGAGCCACATAAAGTGGTGTGGTTATCACAGTGCTCTTACTAACTGCTCAATAAACACTGGCTATTATATTAAATATGAAAGTTTGATGTATAAAAGTAGAGTTTATAATAGTGGAAAACTAGAATGACTATAACCCTCCAATAGTGAGGGATTAGCTAGCTACTTTACAGTCCATCACAAATTGGAATTTTTTCGCAACTAAAAATTATATTATTTAAACAAAAGTGTTCGCAATAGGTTGAAGATATAAAACTTAATATGGAGTAGCCCTAATATAATTTTTAGTATATTTATTAGCCTTGAACGAAATAGCAAACACTTTTAAGTGTTTGAAACAGTGCTTGGCACATAGTTAAGTGCTCAGCAGTTATTTATACATACATACATACACACAGTGTTACGGATATTTTTTCATTTTTATAATGAACATAGATTAGTTTTCTAGTCAGATAAAAAGAGTTAGAGAATAATGATTAGTAGTGCTATGGGGTAGAATTATCAGACTTTAATTTTCAGTTTTATGTTCCCTGTGATGTTTGCATGTTTAAATGAACATATATGTAAGTAAATTTTAAAATACTCTTAATTTTGAGAGTAAGGTGGGAGGAAAGCCTCACAATCATATAGAGTTTATTACTACTAGCCAATTAAAAGTTGATATAGTGGCTAGGTACAGTGGCTTGTGCCTATAATCTCAGCACTTTGGGCAGCCAAGGCTGGAGGATTACTTGAGGCCAAGAGTTGGAGACCAGCCTGGGCAATATAGTGAGACCCTGTCTCTACAAAAAATGAAAAAATTAGACGGGTGTGGTGGCATGCCCCTGTAGTCCCAGCTGCTCGGCAGGCTGAGGTGGAAGGATCACTTGAGCCCAGGAATTCAAGGTTATAGTGAACTATGATGGTGCCATTGCACTCCGGCTTCGGCAACAGAATGAGACCCTATCTCTAAAAAAAATAAAAAATAAAAAGTTGATACTGTGCATCACCTGAAAAAGCACATGGAGTTATTTCTCCAAAAAGGATATACAAATGGCCAATAAAGACATGAAGAGATATTCAACATTATTACCAGTAGGGAAATGCAAATCAAAACCACAGTGAGTAAGATACCACTTCACACCAACAACGATGGCAAAATAAAGACAGGGGTGATAAAAATGCTTGAAATTAGCCAGGCACAGAATGACAAAAACTGCATGATTTTACTTAGATGAGGTATCTCTGATAGTCAAACTCATAGAAGAACAAAGTAAAATGTTGGTTTTCAAGGGTTGGGGTTGGGGGATACGGGGAGTTGTTGTTCAATGGGTATAGAGCTTTAGTCATACAAGAAAAAAAAGTTCCTGAGAGCTGCTGTACAACAATGTGCCTATAGTTAACAATATGTATTATACACTTAAAAATTGGCCAAGAAGGTAGACTTGATGTTATGTGTTTTTATCACAACAAAAATAAACAAATATATATATGGACCTGTTGATACAGGCAGCAATTCAGATAAATCTCCAGGGAAGTATTCTGAATGAAAAAATCTAATTCCAAAATGTTACATACTATATGATTCCATTTATATAACATTTTTAAAAAAACAAAATTGTAGAAACAGAGGCAAGATGAGTGATTACAGGGGCTTAGGGACAAGAGAGAGGAAGTGGATGTGGTTATAAAAGGAGAACATAGGGAATCTTGACTATAGTGGAAAGTATACACTTGTGAATAAATAGTATAGAACAAAATACACATGGTTGGGTACAAAAACTAGGTGAATCTAAATAAGAGCACTAAATTGTATAAATTTGAATATTTTAGTTGTGACATAGTTTTGCAAAATGTTACCATTACGGGAAATGGCAAAATATAAAAGGAAGCTCTGTGTATTATTTCTTACAACTGCATAATACAAAATTTTCAACTAAAAAAATTCTTGAAATTAGATACTGTGATAGCTGCACAACTCTGTAGATATACTAAAAATTGCCGATTTATTTTTCAACTTCAAAAATTTATTATCAAATTCATTAGAAAGAATAAAGCTTTAAGAAATTGTTGGAAAAAAGGAAAAATAAGGAACATTATACTGTTAGATATTTAAATGTTTATTAAGACAGTAAAACTGTGGTACTGTTTCAAAAATAGACTCAGTAATGGAAGAGAATATAGCCCAGAAACACATCCCAATACATAATATGTACAAATTTCATTAATGATGAATATGGCATTTCATATTAATTAGAGAAAGGATTCTTTGTTTAACTTGTGAGGCAGGTAAAATTGATTAACTTATTGGAAAAAAGTTAGACTTTTTATCTCGTATACCAAACTGAACTCTGAACTATAGATGAAATAAAAATCTATATGAAGAAAAAGAGACCTGTTGGATATTATACTAAGTGAAATAGGCCAGGCACAGAAAGACCAATTTTGCGTGACCTCACTTATGGGTAGAATCTAAAAAAATTGAATTCATAGAAGCAGAAAGTAGAATGATGACTGCAAGAGCAGAGGATGGATTGGGAAATGGAGAGTTGCTGGTAAAAGGGTACAAAGTTTCAGTTAGGATGAATAAGCTTTGGAGATCAGTTGTTGCAGATCGTGGTGACTATAGATAATAATATATATCTAAAAATTGTTAAGAGAATAGGTCTTAAATGTTCTTACAACAAAAAAAGAAAATAACCATATGAGATGATAGGTATGTTAATTATCTTGATTGTGGTAATCATTTCACAGTGTATACTTAAAAACATGTTGTATACCATAAATAATATACCAATTTTATTTGTCAGTTGTACTTCAATAAAGCTGCAGGGAAAAAAAAAGAATTTAAAAAATCAATTGCAGTAATATAATCTAGGGAGAAAAATATTTATGACATATACGAGAGAGACTTGATATCCTTAATATATAAAGATCTCTTACAAACCCATGAGAAGAAGAATGACCATCACAAATAGTAAATATCACAAATAGTAAGTTAAGCAATTCATAAAAGTAGGTAATTAGGCAAAATAGGCAATTCATAAATGAAGAAACAAAGGAAAAACAATCATATAAGAAAAAATATTTAGCCTTAATTAACGAAATGTAAATTGAAATGTGGTTTTCTACTTATTACATTAGTGAAGGTTAAAGTATTGATGAAGAATTTAGGAAATAGGCATTAGCATGTACTTCCAATAGGAGTATAAACCATACAGCCTTTCCAGAGGGCACTCTGGCAGTGTAGATCAGAAACCTTACATAGTTTTTCTCTGTTTCAGCAAGTATTCTAGAAATTTCTCCTAAATAAATACATAGCACATGGATTTATATATAAGCGTGTTATGTGTACAAGAGTAGAAACAAATAGAGGAATGGTTAAATCATGGTAATATTGAGGGTGAAATATTATGTAAGTTAAAAATTACATTATAGAATAATATTTAATGCCATGGGAATATGTTTATAACTTAGAAAATCAGTATAAAAGAGTATCCC